ATGTGCAAAAAATCGCAAGCTACGATTCAATCGCAGCGATTTTAAGATAGTAATCGCGACTTGCGATTGGCTCTCATAGAAAACTGCGATTACGATTTCTTCTACAACTTAACAAGTATAGCTAGAGACGTGAGAAATATAAAAAAACACGCGACCGGTCTCTTCCTATACTTGTACAACTGTACTTGCGAGTTTCAATTTAGGCAACCAATATTATTATAGTTGCATTTTGCGATTTTGCTGCCATTGTGATTTTGTAAACTAGGACCGTGATAATCTTATATCTGCGAGTTTTTGTTGGAGTTGCGATTTGCGATATTGTTGCGAATATAATTTTGTGGTCTATTGAAGCATTTTATAGTAACCTGCGATTTAATTTTCTCTCTGATATTATTTATTTATAGAGAAGGTATCATTTTCTAGGGCCACGATCAATAATATACCGGGTGTTTTTCAAGAGTGGTTCACCCTAAAAATTTTTTATTTTTTTCTGATAAAAAAAACGTGATTTGGTATGTTAGTATATGACATAAATTAGGATTGATTGACGTATTCAATTGTTTTTGGCCACTTCCACAGGAAATTTTGATTATTAAATGGCACCCTCGGTATTTTCTTAATTTATTCGATAAAAAATGAGACTCTAAGTAGAATGGCATATCATATGGCAACTATTGATATTTTCGCTTAAAAAATCTTATTTTAAATTTCAATCTAAAATGTCATGACTGTGTTAAAAACGCTAATTTTTAATCAAGATGCCTTGGAAAAATAGATTTGATCGTCTATTGTTTTTCGTGTCTTCTCCTGACCAGTTAAAAGATGCCCAAATCGTATTTTTAATCATATCTCAATTTTTTCAAACGGAACGAGGGTGGCTCCTTGGCATATTAGAAAAAGCATTTTTTTCGAACGGGTGAGGGGTAAGCCATCTTAAAAAAATAATTCTTTTAGATTTTTAAGAATTGGATAAAGAATTAGATAATTGAGAACCGGTAGAAAGAATAGGTATGTGTAATTGCCAGCAGTTGCAGCATATATAATGTTTTAATACCTATAATGTTTTGCAGATGTTAAGAAAACTTAAAAACTAAACCACTGATTATTATTAACTCTTTCGAACTGTTAAGCTGTATACATACATAGACAATTATATTATATCTAGTACAATGTTTAAATATTAAAATCGCAATCGCAGGTTACATTGGCTGCGATTTAAAAATCGCCATCACAGTTTCAATTGCGATTGGAGAATCGCAGTTTTACTCATCTCTTCTTAAAAACTTAGAATAAACATCTCAGGTAAGCACAGGGCCGTATCTAGACCAACATTTCGGGGGGGGGTACAAAAGCTGCTAGGAAAAAAGCATAATAAAAAAATCGATTTGGGCTACACTCAAATCTTAATTGAAAATAAAATTTTAAAAAAGTAACAGGTAAAAATTATTAATCTTAAAGGATAAACTGGTCTTTTCCCTGGAAAAACGATTGACTACCTCTTTGATATCGATATTTATTTCTCTATGTACGCTTAATAGAGGAAGTCCTGTCAATCGCTCCTGACCTGTAGAGTTACGTAGGAAGTCCTTCAATCGTCTTATGCCGCAACCGCACATGCGGCATTTAGCGAACTCCGAGCGCTCATCAACTACCGAACGCTCGTGATCGGACTCCGCCTGTCCATCCACACATACGGGCTCTGATAGCAACAACATAGAGATGAGCGCTCGTTCTCGTCGCCGATCGAGTCGCCGAACTCCGACTTCTTCATCCACACACATAGGAAATCGGCGAAGCCCCGATCGGAGATCGCCGAATACCGCATGTGCGGTTGCGGCATTAGGGTTGAAAAAGACCTTTCTGGTGTAACTGTTGACGCTGGTAGAGTTGCTAAGATCATTAATAAAATGTATATATTTGGAAATATACACTGGTTACACTCCGATTATCGTTTCGATGGCGTTTTTAGGTCGGTCGACTGCAGGTAGCTGCTTCCATTTTTGCCGCCACAAGTCTAGTTCTGCCGCTAAAGTGTCATAGTCCAAGAATTCTTTGTCTAATAGCAGAACAATAACAAACGTTAATCACGTTAATGACCAGCAAAACACACAACATTCAAAATCTTGTCCTTGTCAAACTTTTGCTGTTTTAAACACTTGAATGTTGAAAGTCGAAAATTGAAAATGACATTTGCTTTCAAAGTGGAAAAGTGAGGTTAGGATGTATAATGTATATTCATCAATGGCTAAAAAATACAAGGACAAATAGCACCCGAAACCAAACTGTGACCATTCTTCCAAACAGTGTCGTGGCACATATTTTACTTAACATTGCTGCTTGAAGGGATATTTATATTTTTTATATTATATGTTTTCACTACGCCTATGGTGTATCGGGTGGTATCAGACTAATTAATTACGAAAAAAACGTATTAAAATGTTAACAAAAGGTACATAACTAGTATCGACGTATAGTACATATCAAGTACATATAATATCAGAAAAATAATTATCGAATTCAATAAAAAAAAACGTTAAAAAGGTGTAGGGGAATGTTTATTTTCCTATAAAACGTAACTTCTGGTTCTTACTTATCATTGCGCCTTTTACACTTGACAGCTGAACAAATTACCATTGTAATAAAGTTTATACAAAGTTCACTACACACAACCAACTATTAAAAATCGCTAAAATTGTCGCTGATGACCAGCTGATGATTCATTCGTTATGTCTAAAAAGTTGGCGTCTAAGGTCACAAATTCTACTGCAGCCCGTATATGGGCGTTACATGTCCTTGTATTCTTTAGTCATAGATATTCATCCATCTTCTTCTTTTTTGTTTCGTTCTTACTTACTCAATGATCATTACTTTTTAAAAATTTTCGGCCATAATTTCGGGCGGGGGAGGGTTTGAACCCCCAAAACACCCCCCCAGATACGGCCCTGGCTAAGCATAAGATATAATAAAATTGTCTTCTACTTCGCTGAGTGACTTGAGTCCTGAATCAGAATCAAAAGAGTCAGAATTAAGATTCCTTTCAGTATTCTTACTTCGGAGAGTAAAATATAAGTAGACCAACTTTTTTGAATGTTCAAATGACAGTCGAAGAGGTGTGTGTATCCACCAGATTGCGAATAAGTCCAGTAATAAAGGCTTGTTTATCTCTATTTTAAAAAGTATCGCAAATACAGGGTCCGTCAATAGTGCGTCCTAAAAGTGCAAACCTAAATTATGTCCGTTTAAGTGCAAACCTAAATTATGTACTAGGACGTATTTCAAAAAAATACTTTAACTTCTGCAGGGTAGCTCAAAAAAGCGTGATCGGATCGGAAAGCGAGTCATCAACTCCAGGGAGGAGGGTCATGGTCAGATCCCGCACAATAAGAATTTGCCTCAACTCCAAGGAGGCAATAGAGAGAGGGGAATATATCCTCTATTATAGATTCGGGACAACACCAGTATCAGGTCTAAGGAGAGACCAAGTTAAACATGTAGAGAGAGCCTCCATCCTGCACCTCACGGGTACCTCAGCCGGACGCAAGCTCTTCGACCTGTGAAGGACACGGAGGACCAAACCCCAACCGTAAAAGGGTGTATACCCGCGGAGAAAGAACATCTGCTATCAGAGGAGGATGGGAAATACTGTCCCGCCTACAACAAGAAAATCCTCATGTATGATGAGTTATAGAGACACAATAGATCTTTGATGTGTGATGAGACACAATAGATCTTTAAGGTCGCAGTAATTTACCCCCTTCCGACTCATTCTACATTCTTTTCTCCAAAAAAATCCGATATGGGTATTTCGCCACTGCAAGAAAACCTACAAAATAAATTAGTTATTTTTTGTAAACACTGCTGGCGTTAATCCAACGAAAACTACTTGTCAGCCGTTTACAAATACAAATTTGTCTAACGAACAAAAAGTGCTTAACGTTTCGTAAAGTTTATTTCTTTCCATCGTCGGAAACAAAAAAAAATACAAAGAATCAAGAAAAAAAAACTATTGAAAATATTTAAATGCAACTATTCGAGAACACTTTATTTTTTTTAAACAGATACGTCTACAAAAACCGTTGACGTTCTGTTAAAATGACATTATATCAAGTTAAACTTCAAAATTAACAATTACTACCTGATAACAATTACTTAATAAGGTAAAACCAAGAAGCGTCAAACTTTCGTATGATTATTTTTAATTTGTTTTTAGTTTTTACATATGTTATGTTTGTTTATGTTATGTTGCAGCCACTTTTATTATTCCAGTGGTTTTATATTTATAAAGCCACTTTTATTATTCTTTTAGAGGCTATCGCTTATTTCATTATAATTTTGGCGTTGTTAAAATTTATTCTGTGCCCTGTGTCCCATGAATGCTGACAAATTTTAGATTTTTAAAAATCTCCCTTTCTTAAATAATCTCTATGTTCTTTAATTCGAATATTTAAGGGTCTAGATGTTTCTCCAACAATGTAAAATTTATCGCATTCACATGGTATTTTGTATATTACATTTTTTGTTTGTTGTTCTGTATTCTGTATTTACTGGTTTAGTGTGTGATAAAATGGATCTAAGTGTATTTTGTGTTTTGAAAGAGGTTCGTATGTGATATTGTTTTCCTACCCTTATTTTTTCGCCTCGTATGTATGGAATTGTAAGTTGTATATATTGTGTATTGTTATCATTGTGTTTATGATTTGGGGTTTGTATTTCGTTTAATGTTTTGTCAATAAAATATGGGGGATAGTCGTTTTTCTATATTCTTATTGTAAAAATGTTAAAATGTCATTGCATGTTTTAGTTTATGTAGTAAAACCTGTGGTAAAACCATGTAGAGCAACGTTTTGGCAACGCTCAAGAATTAAGTACTCAAGGCGTTGGAATAACTTTTGAAGATATTTTCAGGTACTTGCTGGCAACATCGACGGCGGCTGGCCGGCAAAACAAAAATTTCAGAGACGAGCGTTCACTTCGACTTCAGTCATTTTCAGTTCGTTTGCTTCTGCGTTCCGGGCGTGTTACAGCCAGTACAGAGCAGTACCTAGACAGCGCGAGCCAATCAAAATAACTGGTATTTTGTCGTAAATAAACGTAAAATTGTGTTTTGGTGAATGAAAACTATTGACTTGGTACTTCGTACCGCTGTTAGTACCCTTATAGTTGTTGTTTTCTTTGTTTTTGAGGGATATTTTTGAAATGAACGTCTGAAAAATTCGACTACCGTTCAAAGAACTATCATTAGCATCGTTATTTCCTGTTGGAATGCACATAGTAAGTAACCTAACTGAAGATTCTTGAGAGTTAGATGCCCTTTGATTTTTTGATACTAATATAGATCCATTTATAGATTATATAGATATAAAATTGAACATTTTTAATACATATTTTATGATTTTCTTCTAAATAGTTATGTTATATAGTTTTTAAACATTTAATTCTTTGAATTCATACTAGATTTATTAAATGTTATTACCTCGAACATTCCCTTAAGATTTTTAATTTTCTTTCAAAGTGATATATAATAAATATAAGTACTCTATGATCCACAATTTTTTTATATTGTTGTGATTGTTTGCATTCAACTTGGTTTCTTAAAGACCCTCCACACAGTACTTCTTATCATTGACAGAACTTTTGAAGTTGTATTTTTCTTTATTTTTTGAGGAATATTTTTGAAATAAATGTATGAAAAATTGGTTTATTTCATGAAATAATCATGGGCATTGTTATTTCTACATAGATATGTAGTACCCAACAAGCAAAATTTGTTGCTGTAACATTGCCAAAACGTCGCAAAGCAAGGTGTAACATTGCTTTTTTCATTGTAGGGAGGTTTATGCAAGGTGGCAAGGTAGCTTAATCTTCCGCCAAATTACATTGCAGCGCAAGGTTGAAAAACACAATATTATTGAAACGTTGCTAATGTAACGTTCAGGAAAGTACTAATTTGAGATGTATTAGTAATATTGTTAATTTTACGTCAATACAATATTGGTAAAATTATATTGTACCTATGTTTCAAAACTTATTATCCATTAAACTTTCTATTTTGTTATAACTTATTAACTGACTTATTGCTAAAATAATATAGCAAAAAATAGATAATGTTTGCAATAAAAACCATTTCATTAGCAACATTATCAATTTATGCAATTTTATGTTAACAATAATACATCAGTAATAGGTTATAATCAACAGAAACATTAATGGGTATTAATTGTAGACTTTCAGATAGGTATAATATACCTACTTTTACTAATATTGTATTGACGAAAAAAACATAAACAATATTGATAAAAATATGCATGTCTATCTCTATATCCATTGACTTAGAAAAATTAAAATGCTCGGTAAATATATCCCTACCAAGGAAGTCGAATTTGTCAAACAAATTGAAAAAAACCAAATAAAAACTAGAAATTTATCACTTACTTGTTTCAAAAATATCAAAAATACTGTTAAGTACTGAGTACTGAGAACTTACTGATCTTTTCGGCTGCTCATTAAATAAGGAATTACTCAACTCTGACCTCTTGAATCAAATTTCTAAAAAAAATCTTAAACTTGAAGGTCTGAAATAATACAAAATATATATATAGGTACAGTATAGACTTTATTATAATTTCTTATTCAAAATACAAAAGGAAAGTATAACATTAAATATATGGCAAAATAAAACACTAAATCACCACAATACACCAAAACACTTTTACTTTTACACTGGACGCGCGTTTCGCTAACCATGTTAGCATCATCAGCAGATGATTATAAACTAGAGAAAAACTAGAGAGAACTATAATATAATCAAAACAAATAATACATTAGCAAGCAAAGCAATTCGGTATTATAATGAATAATAAAAAAATAAACAGGAAAAAATACAAAAAATACATCAACGTTCAAAAGAAAGGTTCTTCAGAAAAGGTTCTTAAAAAAATAGGAATAATCAAACCTCATTCACACTACATCTACCAATATTGAAAGCCAACATGCAAATTTACCATCCACAAGCAGAGATCAGGATCATATTTCCAACAGAAAGTTGCCAAAACGATCAGGAACAGGAAGATGCCTGGTTAAGGCATTCTCTAACATAAGAGAATGAGCTTTGCGCTTTAACATTACACATTCTGCCTTTAAAGAGCTTTTTTCTATGGTCAATTCATTCATAACTGTTCTACTAAAGTACCAAAGGACCCTAGAACTCTTTTGCAAACTCCTACCACCAACATTTGATCAAATTGAACCAAAACAGTATTATTTCAATTTTATAAGGTTATGTTTTGTTTTCTGCACATTTTCTGTCAAATTGCTGTAATGTCAAACTTCGTTCGCAGGGTGTCGCTACAGTCGACACCACGGGTTACATAAAGGTTTTCTGGGTTACTAAAAGTAGCCATAAACACCCCGGCATTTATAATGGTGATTTGTATCACCTTTAGTTAGAAGAGCAAAAGTTTAGAAGAGCAAAAGTAATCTTCATACCCAAAATAGGCAAAACTGACTGGACAGATCCCAAGTCATTTAGGCCTATTTGTCTCACATCGTTCATACTAAAAACGCTGGAGAAAGTAGTTGACAACCATATTGGAGAAAATCATCTAAAGGTTAAACCACTGCATGATAGTCAGCATGCATATAGAACGGGCAGATCCACAGAAACTGCTCTGTACCAATTAACGGAGCTAATACAGACAAGTCTGGATAGCAAAGAAACAGCAATTTGTGCCTTCTTGGATATTGCGGGGGCGTTTGACAATATACCACATAAGGTGGTCAGGCGATCTCTAGAAACAAGAGGGGTGAACAGAACTATTATTCGCTGGTTTTGGGAAATGCTGTCAACACGAACAGCAGAGGCTCAGATGGGCACCAAAACTGTAGCTGTTAAAACAACGCAAGGAACTCCACAAGGTGGAGTAACCTCCCCTTTGCTGTGGAGCTTGGTGGTGGATGAACTACTAGATGAATTAACTCTAGCGGGAATACACTGCATTGGGTATGCAGATGACATAGTCATGATCGCTCGGGGGAAACATGAAGGCACCTTGTGTGATATTATCCAAAGAGGACTCCGTATCACTGAGAGATGGTGTAGGACTGTCGGGCTGAGTATCAACTCAGACAAAACCGCGATAGTGCCATTCACCAGAAGGCGAAGTCTGAAAAACTTGAAAAGAATCCAACTAGATGGAAAGGAAATACTGCCAACACAGGAAGTTAAATACCTGGGAATAACCCTGGACAGTAAACTCCTGTGGAACAGGCATATTAAGAACACTACCAGCAAAGCCATAAAGGCTCTCATGATATGCAGAAGACTGGCCGGAAATAGATGGGGCTGCTCCCCTAACATTTTGCGCTGGATGTATACCATGATAGTAAGACCCATGATTACTTATGGAGCAGTTGCCTGGTACACAAAACTGAGCAACGGACGGCAAGGCTAAACCTATGCAAAGTCCAGAGACTAGCATGTGTGTGCATCACAGGAGCCATGAGAACCTGTCCAACAGCAGCAATGGAGGTCATTCTAGACTAACACCACTGCACATTGTCATTGGTAGATATGCCAATGCGACAATGATTAGAATGGTCACTAACGGAATTAGTACTGGGAGAATTGTCAGATCAGGGGCTTGGAACACCCTCAAAAGGAAATACCACTTCTGCAACTCCCAATGGACGATATGCCAAGAACGTACAACTTTGACAAACATGTCAATGTAGTATTGAGCAATAAGAAGGATTGGAAGAGCGAAACGCTTGCCCAGCAGTTAAAAGACCATACCATAACTTGGTATACTGATGCTTCCAAAACCAATACGGGAACAGGGATCGGAGTGTTTGCGCCGAGAGCTAATTACTCCGAACCAATGGGCACTTACCCTAGTATCCTACAGGCAGAAATCTACGCTATCGAGAGATGCGTACAACTTATCTTAGATAGGAACTATCGGAAACAAGAAATAGCCATCTTATCTGATAGTCAAGCAGCGTTAAAGGCGATCAACTCAGTATCAATCGATTTGAAATTGGTCAAAGAATGCATAGAGAAGCTGAATAAATTAGGCAAAGAAAACAAAGTCCTCCTACACTGGGTGCCTGCTCACCAAGGGATAGAAGGCAATGAAAAAGCAAATAATCTAGCTAGGAAAGGAGCGAACACTCCACTAACTGGACCAGAACCGTTCTGCTTTCCAAGTGGGAACCAACTCAAGGCGGAACTCAAGAACTTGGAAGATTCCATCCGCAACCTGGAATGGAAATCTTGTAATGGTCTAAGACACTCGAAGAAGTTTCTGAGGGCTTATGATCAAGAAAAATCACAGACCTTCCTGGGTCTGAGTAAGAACAATCTTCGGATTGTCACGGGGTTTTTAACAGGACACTGTCTCCTCAATGGACACCTCAGTAGATTGAAACTAAGAGGAAACGGCGAATGCAGATTCTGTGGGGAAGATGGGGAAACACCAGTACACCTCATCACTGAGTGCGCCGAGACGACAACCATTCGTGCCATGAATTTTGGTACGACTGATATTGGAGATGGAGAACTACCCTCTATAAAACTGTCCCAGATACTGGCTTTTGTCAAGCCCTGGGACTGTATGATGAGTTATGATTCAAGAAAGGGGACACAATGGATCTGTAAGGTCGAAGTGATTAACCCCCTCCCACTCATTCTAATTCTAATTCTAATCACCTTTAGTTGTATAAAACACTAAAATTGGTGTTTTAAATAACCCAAACTCATTTACGCAACTTTAAGTAACCAAATTTATATAATGGTTGATGAGCATGTTATAGACCCTAAAGTAATATATAGCACTTTAAATATAATGGACGCCATTATTATTGATGTCTTCATTTTGGCTACAATGAGTATTTCTAAGATAACGTTGAAAACTGGTACAAAACTATATTTTGGCCAGTTGCCAATTATTTCTATGTATTAAAAGTCGTATTTTCTATTATTTATATTAATAAATTTGACTTTTATTCCAAAAATTTTACCATATTTTTTTGTTTATAAAAAATCTATTAAATAATTTTGCTTTTGGGGGCGCATATGTTTTTGGAGGTAAAATTAATTTTCACACAGTAAATTTAATATCGCATATGTATTTAGTACTCTGGATAGGCACAATAGATGTTATTAAGCCAGTAATTTCTATAAATATAAATAAAAAAAAATATTTGTCTCTTTCGTTTCTGGTCTGGATTATCTGCGTAGGACAACTTGGAGCAATAAGATCATGATCATATCT